TCAAGAGAATGGTTTTCTCTACATACACACACCGTTATCACTACCAGTGATTGTGAGGGAGCTGTGAAATGTTTCAAGTAACAACCTTGATTAGTGAGGCTGAGAAATAGAGAAGAGCTGATCAAGAATCCTCCTCCCACTGAAGCTGATGTAGAAGCTGCCAAGCTTGTTGTCAAGGAGAAAGGAGAGGCTGTTGCCAAACCAAATCTGAAAAAGCAAGCAAGGAGGCATTAGTGTTCTTCTGTTGCTGAACTTACAAAAGCTAAGGAGAATCTTGCAAAGGTGGAGGAGAGATCGAAGCTTAAACCGGGAATTCCTCAAAAGGATGGAAAGATTGATTATTTGCAAGATTTCTTTGCTCGCCAAGCTTTTGACTGTTTCTGGCCAACTGCAGTTGAAACTTATGCATGTGCTTTTATAATGTTTATACATTTGGACCAACTTTTCGAGCTGAAAACTCCCATACTTCCAGGCATTTGGCAGAATTCTGGATGGTGGAACCTGAAATAGCTTTTGCAGATCTTAAGGTATTTTAGCTAAAGAATGCTTGGTGAATGTTAGGTGTTTGAGAAGCTTTGAAGTTCTATAGAAATTTGTTTATTGTATGAGGATACATATAATTCTGTGGCTTGATGAGTCTTACACTCCTAATGTAATGGATTGTCAAACACATAAGACGTTTATTTGCGGCATAAGGCTTGTTTGCATCAGTATACCTCAAACAATCACCTTTACACATCCCGGTTTTGGCATTGGAAAACAGAATTATTGAGTTGGGAGGGCTAGATTGTTGGCTATTAATATCGCTTTCTGTTTAGCTGGATATAGCGGGGGATTCTATCTAGCTAGTCAGGATATTTTGTGGATGCATAAGAAAAAATTTGTGAACATGTGAAATGCTCTCCTGGAATACAGATGATCTATTCTTGACATCTTATGTGCTTATATATCTACAAGGACTCTTTCTGGGCTTCTATAGCTGTTATGGGGAGTATCTTATTTCCTAAATCTGGGGATTTAAGGATAAGTTACCCTTTGTTTCTTCATTGTAACTATGGTTATTTTATCTTTTTAGAAATTAGCTTGATTGTGTTTCTTGAAATGCTAATGTGTAATCATGTGGACTGGTGCCCATCCATATATGAGTTTTTGAAGTACATTGGGGATTCATGATTATGAATAGTTTTCTTTTTATTTGTAGGATGATATGAACTGTGCGGAGGCATATGTAAAATTTTTATGTCAGTGGTTACTGGACAAATGCCTTGATGATATGGAATTTATGGCTAAAAATTATGACAAAAGCTGCATTGATCGTCTGAGAATGGTTGCTTCAACTGCATTTGAGCGAATATCATACACAGAAGCAGTGGATCTGCTACTGGAGGCTGTGAAAGAGGGAAAGAAATTTGAGAACAATGTGGAGTGGGGGATTGATTTAGCATCTGAGCATGAAAGGTTTGCAAATCGTTTTAATTTATGGTCCTGTCAGCTTTTAAGTGATGGTATTGACGCCTTGGTTTGGTTACTGTTGCAGATACTTAACAGAGGTTAAATTCCAGAAGCCTGTTATTGTGTATAACTACCCAAAAGGAATCAAAGCATTTTATATGAGAGTCAATGATGACTTAAAGACTGTGGCTGCTATGGACGTCCTTGTACCAAAGGTGAGCTTTTTCTTCTAAATGTTTTAAGCGATGCTTACCTTGTGCTTTGTTACAATATTTTTACTAGAATTATGTTCAAATATTTTGTTAGGGGCATATATGATACGGATTCTGTTATATTACAGGTTGGAGAGTTGATTGGGGGAAGCCAAAGGGAAGAGCGCTATGATGTTATTAAGAGCAGGTATGGAAAATGAGGTCCATAGTTGGTACTTGTCATAGTACTTAAAATTTGCACTAGACTGCTTTTCTCTCCTTTTGGTCCTTGCTATACAAGTTTCTTTGACGAGCATTACGTGTGCGTATTTAGGTCAGGATCTTGTTGCATGATTATAATTGACTGCTAATGAGCCATTTTTTGTGGGATGCTTACAGAATAGAAGAGATGGGGCTGCCTCTTGAGCCATATGAGTGGTACCTTGATTTGCGTCGCTTTGGGACAGTGAAACATTGTGGATTTGGTTTAGGTTTTGAACGGATGATTCTTTTTGCAACTGGCATCGACAATATTAGAGATGTTATTCCCTTCCCCAGATATCCAGGAAGAGCAGATCTCTGATCTTTAGTCCAAAAATACACGAGGATGTTAGTATTTTGCATTACAATTGGACCCCTATTTACCATGGCATAGTTTTTATCCTATAACAAGAAACAAGGAAATGATAGCATTGAAATTGATATTTTTACCAGCAGAAATCCTATACCTGTTAACAATGCCACTTATTATATTGCAATTTTTGTGATATTGCTTAATAAATATCTTTACCGTATTTGTTGATAATCTGATACCCTTTCGTTGGCTTATTGAAAATAATTCCTTGATTTTTTTTTTCTCTGTCGTTTTCATGCTAGCGTAAAGGGGTTGTCATGCTACCGTGCCTTTTAATGGGATTTGAAAAATGTAAAGGAAATCGTTGCAGTGAAATTGATACATGCCCTGTAAATAGGCCGGCAAAACCCGGGTCAGGTGGGAATCCAGACACTGACTATGAGTGGTGAGGGAGATTATCTGGGTTGGTTAGGTCATTTTGGTTTTAAGATCAAATCAAGAGCCATATTTCTCGGGAAAAAGTATATGGTGCTGTTTGTAAGGTGTTAATCCCTTTGGAGCAGGATCTTGATTATGATTTGCAATATTGGTCAGAAAGCCGGAAGATTGCCCACAAGAAACTCTTCTTGAAATATGAGGACCGCCAAGAGATCTTAGTATACGAGGATGAGGTGGATAAGTTAAAATCAGACCGGCCTTGATCCGGTCAAGGGCCCAGTTAATGATTTTACCGGTCCAAAAAGTTTGAAATCTTGCAAAAACACCATTGAAAACTATTTTAGTTCCTGCTGGTATAAAATATAGCAAATACATCCTTATGATCTGTTTGAATTTTGACTTTTCCGGCCAAATTCTGGTGGCCAAAATTTAATCCAACACCATTACTTGAACTACTGTCCTTCACTCTACAAAACCCCTCTACCTCGAAACTTGATAGCCCCTTGTTCGCTAGCCATGACTTGCGAACGCTGCTACGATTGGGTAGATTTTTTTGGCCGAATTTTGGTTGATTCCGATGTCATAAATTCAATCCAACACTACCACCTGAACCACCAACCTCCACTCTACAAAACACATTTAACCCCAACATTTGGTAGTCCCCTGTTCGCTGTCTGTGACTCACGTATTGGGTTGATTTTTCTGGCCAAATTCTGATGTCCAAAATTCAATTCGACACCATCCCTTGAACCACCGGCTTCCCTTCTACAAAACCCCTCTAACCTCAACACTTGTGTGCCCTTCGTTCATTGGTGGTAAGATTAGGGATTTTAGTGAATAGTAAAATTGGAAATTCAGACTAGAGAGGATGTCGATCGACGGTTAGACCAGCCGGTCCAGTCTGGTTTTCAGGACATTGGATAAGTTTTTATGAAAATCAGCTTGGAGAGGCGTAAAAACTTTGAGGCGAACAGAAATGGTGAAAGTTTTCTCATATTATTATTCTTTTGGAAGTGTCATACAAATGCTATACTTAGCTAACTTGGTTTTGCATGCAGTCTTTTACTGTCTGTTTTAAGTTTGTTTGATTTGGGTTTGTTTTATGTTTAAGCATGAGCTCATTTGGGTTTGATGAGTAGGTAATAACCACGTTGCTTCAATTCATGCTAATAGGAGCCTCTTGCAATTGAGTTTTGCTTTGTATCTGAGATTGTTAACCTTCTGCTACATGGGTTGTCCATCAAATTTACATCAAGTCTTTATCCTTTTCATTTATTGTATCTGTATATTCATGGTGTTTTGACCTGAAAAATTAAATTAATCTATACTCCATATCTACAATCCTCAAATCTTTTAACCACATCTTCATCATAATATGAATGTTGGTTTTATTGAACTCTTTACTGACAATCTTCTTGTTAAGCAAGCAAATGAGCATCTCCAAATTTTTCATGTAAAGATGATTGTTGTTCTCTTTGAATAATTTTCTTTTATTATCCTTTAAATCATGTTTAAAATAAAATGTCTCCATTGTGAAAAAAAAAAAAAAAAGGATTAAACTTGTAACAGATGTAACTTTTTAATATAGTAATCCAAGAAAAAAAAAAAGCCCTTAAATTAATGACCCTACTTTGTAGTAGCAATTTCTTTTTCGGTTGCTAATTAATACCAGGGCAGACTATTAAAGAGTATTGTTATGCTTACAATTGAGCGAGCAATTTTATGTTTATAATTAAGTTATATAACCGAGTCATACAACCAAGCAAAAAACAAGGGACAGAGTAATCATTTTACATGAATTTTGTGTAATTTTTGTTTGGTTGTATGACTTAGTTGTAAGCAAAACATTATTGGACTATTAGAACACCATTTCAAGTTTGCCTCAAGCTCCTAAGTTTGAGTTTCCCTAAGCGCTAATAGGGGTGGCCACTGAAAGATTATCCAATCGGACTTTCAGGACCTTAGAGATTAGTTAAGGTGCGCGCAAGTTAAATCGGAGTGTCGGACACCCCTGGTGATCCAAAAAAAAAAAAAGGGTTCATATAAAAGTTGTATACATTCCTTAATTTTGAAGTTTCATTTGATAGGTTCAAAAAGATTATGGGATTATACAATATCTTAGGAATTGGTGCTACCTTGAACATGACCATAAACCAAGTTCCCATACCATATGAAGAATTTTTTATATATTGCTCATTGTTCGAAGTTCTACGGTAAGCTCAAATTATTTATATAATCTACATTATGAGTTTGAAACTAAAGGCTTGAGTAATATTCTTAGGTGCTTTATATATATTGATGCATTGAAGCCACAAAATTAACTACTCTTCAGTTTCTACTTTATCATGGCCAACACAGGTTCATTAATGTTGAACCAAAAATTTGATGAACTTCCCAAAGAATCATTCTGGGAATGTCATGACCTCTATCAATGGGAAGGTTTTTGGTACTATGAAGATATTATCCAAGGTATGTTAGCCTTTCAATCAGACTATGAAGCACTTTCTGATGATGTTATCTTGGCTTCCTCCATGAAAACAGGAACAACCTGGCTTAAGGCTCTCTGTGTTTCCATCATGGGACGACAAAGCCAAGGTGTAGAAAATCTCCCTCATGCTCATACAAGGACTTCAGAATATGATGTATGCGGAGATAATTTACATCCTGATCTGGGAAGACAAAGTAAAGGTCAAAATTAAGACGCTCTCTCCATCTCAATTCTTTAAAATTTTTAAGAATTTTATGTCATGTGTTTATTTTAAAACCCGATATAATGACTATTAATCTTATCCTTATATTGTTCAGGTAAAAGTTCAGATCAGAAGGGAATCCTGGATGATGTTGCGGAAGACGATATTCTTACAGAAAATGTCCCTCATGCTCATATAAGAACTTTAGAATATGATGTATATAGAGATAATTTACATCCTGATTTCTCAGGTATGCCATCTCCAAGACTGTTTCACACTCATCTACCTTATAGTGCATTGCCAGATTCAATTAAGAACTCAGACTGCAAGATTGTTTACATCGCCCGAAACCCTAAGGACACATTGGTGTCGCTGTGGCACTTCTTCAACAAAATCTCACGACCAAATCAAGAGCCATATTCTCTCGAAAAAGCTTACGATGCTTTTCGTAAAGGCGTTCATCTCTACGGACCATATTTCGATCATGTTTTGGAGTATTGGTCAGAGAGTTTGAAGAATCCCGACAGGATACTGTTTCTGAAGTATGAAGAGCTGAAAAGTGACCCCAAAGGACAGGTGAAAAGGCTAGCTTCATTTCTCGGACGACCATTTGTTAATGAAGATGAAGTTGAGAAAGTGCTGTGGAGATCAAGCTTGGAGAGGCTTAAAAACTTAGAGGTGAACAAAAATGGTGTGTTCTTCCATTTGAAGATTCCCAACAGTTCATTTTTCAGACTCGGAGTTGTTGGGGATTGGAAGAACTACTTTACGGATGAGATGAAACGGGATTTGGATGAACTTACACGCATAAAACTAGAAGGTTCTGGCCTTCATTTTGATTTTTAATACTAATTAGGAGATTTTCTTCTCCTTTTTCCTTCGATTTCCAAAATAAAATCCATTGCTTGTTGCTAGTTCTTGTTGAAACACATGTTGAAGTTTCAGAATCTGTCATGTTATCGAGGATAATTTTATCCAGTACTGTAAACGAATTCTCGAAAATTCTCTAATAAATATGTGTTGATGAAATATGTGTTTCCCGTACTTGTAGAAATATATTGAAGTTGCAAGTAGTATAGCACATTAATTAGTGCAAGTTAATTATATGTTATTGTTAACTTAAGGGTCAAATATACAACCAATTTCCTCGATCAAAATGATCATTGAAAGATAATAAACATAATGGTTGACTAAAGTATAAAATAAATTATTATCAACTTCATAAAGTAATATAGTACTTTGTATATAAGCTCTGAAGGAAGACGTGTTTTATATAATTTTGTTGATCGATGTTCTAGGTATGTACGTAACATGACTATAGTTTAATTGAGGGTTCATGTTAATAACTTATGTTTGTTATTTTAACATTTTGAAACCTTAATTTTTGTGGTTCCAACTTCTCCTTGATCTTATAATTAACATTAATAATAAAACGTAAGCAAATGAGCAGATATGGGTCCGTTTGGCATCCTTTTACTATCCTATCTTATTCCAAAAACCTAAAAATGCATTTGTTTTAATATTCTCAAAACTCAATCTTATTTTATTCAATTCAAAATATTTAGATTTTTTAACCCCATAAGTTTATTAATTTAACTAAACACCCCCAACAATAAAAGTTTATAAATTGACAAAAACACCCCCACCTACCTATGTATTGCTGGTAGCCGGCCACCACCGTCGGAAGGTGGTCGGCTACTAGCAATACGTGGGTGGGTGAGAGTGTTTTTGTCAATTTATAAACTTTTATTATTGGGGGTGTTTAGTAAAATTAACAAACCTAGGGAGTTAAAATAATCTAAATATTTTCAGAAAATATCATTCAGAAATGTAGAAAAAACTTCTTAGTATCCTATCATCTTTTCAAAAAATGCTAAATAACATAAATGCTATTCTAAATAACCAACCAAGTGGAGCCTTTTTTTTTTCTTTTTTTTTGGTAATCAGGGTGTCCAGGCTAGCTTGTGTGCAATTCAACTAATTCTCCGAGTTCATTGAATACCCTACAAACTCAATGGACTAGGTAAGCCACAATAGCAAACAATGACGGACTCGCGAAGGCCCCCTTGGCAAAAATCTTGGGTTCGCCACCGAGTGTATGCAAACTCCTAGCTAGCCAATAGAAAATTTGGAAATTTCCAAATTGAAATTGGATCAGACCTATCTTGGTTTTGCACTCATTGTAATATTCCAGTCAGGGTCTAAAATCTTACTGGATTTCATTAGGGATAAGAAAATTGAATGATGTTTAGCCGTTGAGTTAGATTTGTCATTTCTTTCTTTATTCTAAATATTAACCAACAATTTATGATAATATTTTTTAAACCCAGTCACTCTCAATGCGCTCTTAAAAAACCATTCGATTATTGATCTGATATTGAAAATATTAATGACAAAGTACGTAGGCTGAATTATGAATAAATTATATTTCTTAAATTTACATTTCACAAAACTGAAACACAATTAACTAAAAAAAAAAAAAGGAAAAAAAGAAAGAGAAAAGTGCAAGATTAGATGAAAAAAGTATACCATACAAGGGCAAGAGGAAACAATAGTAACCCGAGTTTTAATTTAAGTGAGTTCATTAACATTTCTAATATAAATTTTTTGAAAGCTAAATATGGTGTAACGTCTATAAATTAATAACCTTGAGATCATATAAATTCTATTAATTAAATTTGATATTAATTAATTAATAATTTACTAATTTATGGAGCGTATTTACGAGGAACATACATTTAGTCAACTAAAAATTCATTGTATTTCACCAATCTAATCAATTGGAAAATCCTGCTGTTGAAAAATTTGAGGATGATACAATAGCTTTGGCCTTTGGAGCCTTTACGTGCAAGGAAGCACTCAAAGCATCAACAAAACTTTATAATTTTTATTGCAATTCGAGAATTCAACCCCAAAACTTCTAGAGACAATGAGAAAAATTAGAGATGGGATCCAACAAAATTTAAATTTCAAGAAAAAACAAGTAACAATATAGTCATATTTTAATAGAATATCATAGTCAATTAGTAAATTATTTATTTATGATATTATTGGGACCACAAAGTTATGTATGGTTTTCCAGAAAAGTATTATTTTATTAATTTATAGAAATTATTAATTTAACGTACTAGCCCAAGTCGAGACCGTAAGAAATCTATATCTATATATTTATATAATCCTAAGAGATACCGTGTTTGATTGGCATATATGATTTTTTAAGCTCTAAAATTGCTTCATTTTAATTACATGTTAGAAGATTGACCAACATGTGGTTGGATGTGATTGGTGATGATGTAGGACATGTGGATGTGTAGGATTTTTGGTTACATATGGCTTAATTTAATTGGTGTTTGATATTTTTTTTGTATTAATAATCCATATTAATAACAATATTAATTCATGATTTATGGATGTATTTAATCAACATTAAAGAGAGAGATATTTATTTGAAAGTAAAGGGGGTTGATAATTGATACATTGTATTTGTTTGATATGAATGTGAAGGGTTGGAGTTATTTATATGAATCTGAAGGGATTGATAAGTTGTATTATTGATACAACGTATGTGTTATGTAGTGCTGTGTATCTGGAATTAATATAAAGGGTAGAGATATTTAGGAGAATGTGAAGTCTAGATGCAAAAAAATTTACCTTTACGAAAATAGAGTCTGATCCCATGAGGTTGAGGCTATTAGCAATCTGCTATACCTGCACACGCAAGAAAACAAGCGTAAAGTGAATGGAAAACACTGAGGTGGTGTTTGCCGTAGGCACTCTGACGCTTAAGTCAGCAAGGCTGAGTGAGACTAATTTAGTGAGGGTTAGGGAGAGAAAAGGTTACCAGAAGTATAGTCGGAGACTATAACTACGGCTGTGATGCAAAATTCTCGAGAGTGAGAACTGCGGGGTCTGAAGGTGTAATGTCCGTGTCCCTTGTGAGAGGGTTGACCTCTGTTTAAATAGCAACTGTTGGATCTTCGAATCCTGGTAGGACTGTGAGTCCTTGGAGTAGAGGTTTTGTGAAAAAAGAGAACCTTTGGCTCCCTTACCTCAGTAGGAAAGGGAGTCCTAGTGGGTCTAAGACACATATCTTAGACGAATTAGGGTAGTGATGGACCTCTTCGATAGAGTTCGGGTAGTACCGAGGTAAGTAGACGACCTTGGGCTTCAAGTAGATCCTAAGTCCAGAAGGTGGTCTAGGATCACAGGGCTTGGGCCCAGATAAACCGGTAGTGAGGCCTAAATGAACTGGGCTTTTGCTGATTGGGTCTAAGTAGTGGGCAACTAGGTAGGTGTATTAAAATGAATTTGGTGGGCGAAATCGGTTGCAGGCCCAATCGGAATTAGGCCATGACTTCGAGCTTTGTTGAAGGTGTTTTCGTCTTTGGGCCTATTTGGGCCGAAGACATTTTTGGCCTTAACAATTTGCCCCCCACTTTCTAAGTTAAGGAGTGCTTAGCCTAGAGAGTAGGCGTTGCGTGGAGGTGTACTTAGTCGACCTTCATGACCGACTAGTTAAACATGTGAACATGCTGCTTCTCTGTTCGCGAAACCGAATAATATAGCTTTTATTGTAGGTGACGCATTCGATACACTAGGTCGAGCGAGTGGAGGTGAAACACGATCATGTCTTCGCTCAGTGTATCTGATCGAGTGAGGGAGTTGAGTTGACCTTGTGGCCTTGCCCAATGCATTAGATCGAGAGGAGGCACGAAAGAGTCTGCGAGAGGTATCCTTTCTCGATGTGTCGACCTGGGTGGGAAGATGTGCGAGATGTCCCATGAAGGTGTCCTCACTCGGCGTACCACGCCGAGTGAGATTCGTTAGGGTGATTCTTGTTGTGGTGCCATCGGCTAATTGGTCGAATCCGAACAAGTAGGTGGATGCACACTTTCCTACTCGTGATTGGCTCGTTCAGTCCAGCTGACCGAGTGACTGGGTGCTCTGTAACTTCTTGGCGAAGTTTGTCACGAGGCTGAAGGGCTGGGGTAGTACTTCTTATCATTCCGTTTGGTCAAGAGGGTTGACTGAGTGGGTGTGAAGTGTTAGAATGTGTTTGCTTGGCCGTAGAAGATGAACAGTTTGTATGTTAGAAATGCCTACTCAGTCGGGTTGGCCGAGCGATTGTGCTGGGCGCGTGCATGGACTCACTTCTTTCGAGTGCATGCGGATTCACAACACATGTGCGGTGGAGATCGCTCCTCGGTTTGGGTGGGAAAACAAAAAGTTGCTATATTCCATAACCAATTCAAGGCCGCCATGTGTCTCTTTTGCTAGCTTTTGTCCATAAAATCGAGGAGGCGACTGTGTATCTTCATTTCGTCTCTCACTTCTCTTTCTTTGCATTTTCTTCTTATTTTCAAGTTTTTTTAGAGGTGGTAGACGTACTTTCGTGGATTTCGACCATTTTCATGGTAAACACTAGTTTCTTGTGCTGCTTTCTGTTTCTTTTCTTCTTCTCTTTGTTTGTGTAGTATTTTTGGAGAGATTTGAGTGGGATTTGGTAGGTTTCTTTTTACGTTTTTGGAAGGGTTTGACAAAAACTAGGAGGTGTCATGTTTCTTCATTTTGAGCAGGGTAGGTTCAATGGCCACTTAGGTTGTTTGGTTTGAAGTTTGGGGTGAACGAAGAAAACACAAAAATTTTCATCTGGGTTCAAAAATTCTGGGTTTGGGGAAGGTAGAAGATGAAATCAGTTTATGTTGGTTTCCCATTCGGCTTGGCTCGTCTCAATCTGCTTGACTGGGTCAAGTGTGGTGCTTCAAGTGAAAAAGTGTGGTTTTTGGTAAGGGCTAGTCACTTGGGTCGCCCGGTCTTCCAGACCAAGTGGTGATTTGCACGAGAGG